GGTTAACCTTCTCATGAATGAATTGGGTTTTAATTAGTTGGTAGGACCATTGAAACAATGAGTTTATTATTAGTTATATTTGTTTCCTTATTTTAAAATTTATTATCAGATTGTTATTTATTTACTTATTTCGAGATTTGTTTTAAGTTTTCTTATTTAGGTCACTTGTAAGTTCTTTTAGGCCCCATAGGAGCATAGCATAGATCAATGAAGTTGTTTTCTCTTATCCTACTTCCATGGTTGTTCTACCAAGCCTTCTTCATTGCCCCAATAGGCCTCTCGGACCCCTCTAGGAAGGTTATTGGGACCTTCCCAAATCAACCCTCGCTCTTTTGCAGCCTCTAACAACCTTCTAGTGGCAACGCTCTACTCCTTGCTTTTCTTATGACCGGAATTGATTCCAAGGGACCGTGGAAAGGTATAATTATTTATTTTTTTATTTTTTTGGCAATTAGTGTAGGTGTTTGATAACTTTGTGAAAATCATATATCTCTTTCTTAAGAGTTCTAAAATCTCAAACTTGTGAGATGAGGATCAAATTTGGTGTCAGAGTATATATTTTCTCATGTGCCAGTAACAAGCAACCATGGAGAAAATAGGAGTGGGTATTAGCTTTGATTTTGATCCAAATATTGAGTCCAAGAAGTATCAGTAGTCCCTAGATAGTTGACAAATTACAAACTTGGAAGTTCTTAAACTACTACTTATCACAAGGCACAAGAATGGAGAATTTGGAAGATATGTTTCAAACATTTTGGAATGGATAACTTCTCTTAATAATAGACATGACCACTCTATAGATCATAATCGTCATCTTATTTTAAAAATCATGGTATTCAACGTCGAGTATGTCGATGATGAAGATGTAGGAGTATTTGTGGATAAAAGAAGAATATTTGTTAGAATTTTGCATGATAACCGACTTCCATTGAAGGTTGAAGACTCAATTCTACCCTATCAAAGATGAATATGGGAAGTGGATCTTGCGGTATTGACTAAGGCAAGGGTTTTGACAAAATGTGCAAAAGTTCATAATGTAATCTAAAAGAAACGAATTAATTTTCAATGTTTCATTTGAGGAGATTTCAATGACTCAACATTTATGAAATATATAGTGAGGTTCCCTGAGTCACTCTAACAGGAATTAACATTTTTTTCAATTTCTTCTGTTGTTGAGGATATCATTATACCTATTTTCATTTAAGATGTAAGCTCAAGCCTAGAAAAAAACAGCAGTGTAGTCGGTGAAAAAGAAAAGAATAAATGAGCCCACAAAAAAAGGTGAAAAGGGAAAAGACCAAAAGAATAATAATAGAGCCTCTTGCTTTTTCTGCCAACTCTGAGGCAATAGCAATATGAATTTCTGGACACTTAATTCCAAGTGACATAGGGATGCAGAGAAGGCAAAGCAAATGATGACCATTTGATGGGGACATCAGATCAGCGTGAAAGGTTTATCAGAGACGTGGCCGCCGATCTACGGCCACGATCGAGTCCTTGTATTTCTGAGTCATGATTGTATTTTATTTTATTTATGCATTTTCTTATTTGCTTAGGTGTCGTTATTATTTCCCTTTGTACCCCTTTCATGGGAGTGGTCGCATGTAAGCCCAAAGGGCAAGTTGGTCTTTTATTTTCTTGAGTCTTTGTACCCGGCTATATATAGCCTCATTTCCTTTGTTTTAAGCTAATGAATGATTGATGATGAAAATTTCCTTCTTGCATGAGCAAAAATTATTGCTATTATACGATAGGTTCATTACCTATGTGAACGCTTGAACGACTAGCCTTAATCGAAAGTTCTCTCCTATTATTGGGAGGGGTAATTAACTATAGGGGCTTGCGCCTATAGGAAACCAGAACTCAGATCAAAAAGTCCTCACCAAATGAGGGCGAAATCTCTGGGTAGTGTCTTATCTACAAACCCAATCTGCCTTCTGAAAATTCCCCCGGGATCACACATCCCAAAAATGGAATTTTTCGGAGCCCACAACCGCCGGCCACCTTGCCCCAAAATCTCTTTTGCCGCCGGCCTAGCCCCAATGCCGCCGGCCACACCCCACTTCCATTCACCTTTGAGTTCCCTAATTAGGTTGGAGATCACCTGTGGAAAATTCTGAAATTCAGATTCAATCAATTTTGAATTTCAAACTCTTTCCTAGTTTAGTCACTTATTTTAGGAAAGTTTTAACTCATATCTATTTTGAAATTTTAATTCAAATTGGATTTGATTAAATATTTCCTAAATCCTAAAGTCAAAATTAGAAGATCAAATCCTCTCATTAATTCCCTCACCCAGGTTCCCGCCGGCTCCCCTCTCTGGCCAAGGAGGAAAGTATTTCCTAATTGCCTATTAGCCCACTTTGGAATATTTTCAAATTCTCCCTTCATTACTCAGCCGAAACTCTTCCACCTATATTAATTATTTGATTTCCTGAATTAATGCATTGAATCAGGAAATTAATTCCCTCTCCCATGGATCAACCCGCCCCCTTCCCCCTCCTGTTTCCTGGACGTGCGTTACCTGGCCGATCCTCCCCTCTCCTCAGCAGCTCAATTCCTCTTTTCAAGCCAAGCCTTTGAATTGCCTTGGATTCTCTTCTTCCCAATACCACCTGTGCATTGAAAATCTGAGAATTATCTCAGATTTCTGGAGCAAAATCTGAGCTTAAAGTGAGGTGTTGATGGCAACCCTTGGAAGAAGAACCTTACCCATTTATTAGAGAAACTTCTTTCTCTACAATCAGGATCGAGATTGCTGACGTCAGGTGGAAGATCTCCGCGTCTCCTTGAGCAAAGGTTTTGTCCTTCTACACTTGCATTCAAAGTCTTCTAAAATCTAAATTCTCAATTGGTTTGATTGTATTCATGAAGGCTCCTCCAAGTGCTCTTGCTAAGCTTAGACATTCGTAGGAATTGAGCGTACCTTCTATGCATCCTACATCTTGTTGTTAGATTAGGGATTAACTTGAAACTACTATTTTTGCATTGCTTTATTTTTCTTGATTATCTTGAATATTCAAAACTTAGCGCATGTGATCTAGCCTATACAAGATTAACTCCCTCATTGTTTGACTCGCCGTGGATATTTGCTAGTAATTTTAATCCGAACTTATTATAATCAACGAGCTGTGCAAAGCCTAAGTGAAATTCATAATATTGCATCTAAGTAGTCGTGCATCACCATTATTGTGGAGGAGATACATTAAATTGGCCGAGTGAAGCAACAGAACCCATGGAGAGAAGTCGATAGCTTATCTCAAGTCTACAAAGCTATACAGGAAGTTGAACAAGCTTTGATAGCAGTTTGACTAGCAATCAAGCTAGCTACATCAATTGTTCAATCAACTATTTGGACAACAAAAATAGTTAAAATAACATCTTGAATCATAACAACTGCATACTGAGCAATGAAACAATATATCAGTCAAGATAGCCAATACAATTATAGTTGTAGTTTAGTTAGCAGTAGCAACCACTTGACCAATGAGAACAAGCTAAGAATGAGTTTAACTGGCTCTACAACTAAGTCTAGATGGTCATTCTCTCGATCATCTTTAGCTTGGGGAGCTGAAAAAACTTAATCTTCATATTGAGCTAGAGATAAAGGCACATACAATTTTGTGTTATTGTGGTGGATTAATGAGGAGGTTGAATATGAAGAGCACAAATAATGTACTTTAAAGTACATGATTATGAAGCATTATATTGATGGGGTCATCCATGTAATCTTTCTTTTAATTTTTTGCCACATGATCATAACAAGTCTAGTGTTGGAAGCCCAATGCCATATATTGCCACAAACAGCAGGATTATTAACTAGTACAAGATGGTAAAAAATTCTTATTAAGTAGTCTCTTTCCTTTCTGTCTTGATTTTCACTAACTTCAAGGAAATCAAGTTTTTTTGCTCCCATTGCTCACAAATGTTATGACCACATGGTTTTTAACCATGAAATTGAACAAAAAAAAAAAAAAAAAAAAAAACAAAAAAAAAAAAAAAAAAAATCCCATTCCTTATTGTATTGAGATTGACAACCATCAATACTATTGATGAATTTGATTGACGCCTAATAATGGTATAACTATGCCAACCTCTTCTTTTACAGTGGAAGCAATACCAAGAACCCTCTTCTCCTCATTTTTTGTTTGTTTTTTCACCTGATGTAGTTTCCAATAATCTGCTTTTGAATGGCCCTTTTTCTAAGAGTAGTTGCAGGAAGGCTTCCTTTTTTACCTTTTGTCATTTTTTGGCTGCTCATTGTTTTATTTGTAGCTTTGATAAAACTTTGGCTCTTTTGACCATCTTTCCTTCTCTTCTATAGCTATAGACTTCTAACTAACTGACTAAAGTGGGAATTTTCAGTTGCCACATGATCTCTTTACAACGATCTACAGTAATTTTTATGAGAATGTCCCTTTCCATAATATTTAAGGAAAATACATGTCACTTGAATTCTGTAATGCACTCATGGACTGATTGTTTATATATTTATCTCGATGTTGCCTGTCGATTCTTTTGATCCATCTTTTATCTCAATGTCCAAGGTGATAGATTTGAGCTGTTAGAAGCGTCTTGAATTGTGGCCATCTTCTGTGATAAGTCATAGTTCAATTACTCTATGCTTCACAACATCAATTCTTGTAATGATATCTTGCATTGAGCAAAAGATATCCTTTGACTATAATATACTAATAAAAAGAAAATAGGTTGTTAAGGCCTCGAACAGATTCTGTACCTTGTCACATCCACTATGCCATTAAAGGTAGAAAATTTCAGCTTGGCTTACTCCTTGAAGGGATGTGGGTTTCTAATTGAGCATTGGTATTTATTTGTGGGTGGAGCTTCCATTTATCTTGAATAGCCTCAGATAAGCAATTGGTCCTAACTCGACTTGTGGAACTATCCCTTCCATTCCTGCGAACACAAATTGTTTTCTAAATCAAAACTACATTTTCAACTATTACTTTTTATAAATGTAGAGATGGTTGGTATTGCAGGAGCCACTTTCTTCCTTAGCAGCTGAGTTTGAGTCAGGCAACCCCATCCTCAAGGAGAAAATCCGGGTTGGTTGCATTATGATCTCTTATAGGATTAATTTTTAGATTTATTTGTGAGACACTTCCTATTTTACATATTTACCATTATAATATTTCACATGCAGTTACTTTCGGAACAATATGCAGCACTGAGGCGAACACGCGGAGATGGAAACTGCTTCTATAGAAGCTTTATGCTTGCTTATCTGGTAAATTTACATGCACTTCTCTTCTGATCTTTTTGTGCGGCAGTATCAGATTTGCTTTTCTGTATTTAATGAGAAACTATTTTTGAGGTTTCTAGGAGCACATTCTAGAAACACAGGATATTGCTGAGGCTAAGCGAATTACTGGAAAGGTTGAACAATGTAAGAACACTTTGCAGAGCCTTGGCTACACCGAATTTACATATGAGGATTTCTTTAGTGTAAGTTGATTAAAAACTCATATAGTTATATTTTATAATTTATTTTTTTCGTGGTTGTACAAAACCAGCCAACAGCTTGATTCACCAACCCAAAAAGAGAAAAGAAAGTCAATCGAAGGGAATAGTCCTTGCAGCTGTAGGTTAGTCTGAGAGTTTAGAATATTCAGTTCTTATGCTGATGTATGCCTGTACATGTGACTGACTATAGGCAGCTTCATTGCATTGTTATAGACATTCATGATTTTTCCATGATGGTGTCTCTTTTGCCTATTCTCTGATAGCACATTTGATACCAGGCCTATAGGGATTAGCAGGGTGCAACTTTACCGTATATTTACTTGCCTCTTAAAATTCCTGAAGTCTGCTCTGGTTTGTTCCTAGAGACAAACTTGCACCAAATGAATCGTTGTGGAGCTTTTTTGTATTACTTTCTCATTCTTGAAAATTGTATCGTTGGCCCCTTTCAACCTTGTATTTGTTTCAAGTCAATACCATTCTGAAACTTGCCTGCCTTTCTTGAGTGATAGAAACCTGCACGGGCCTGTCTAACATGGGTAGCATGCTAAGGTTTTGCCTTCCATATATGTGTCTACCTGCCTGTCTTTTAGTATTTTTGATGCTCTGTAATTCTTTCAAGATGTTCATTGTCGAGTAATTATAGAGTTACGTGACAGTCTCGTGGAAAATAACTTCTGACAATTTTCTTTTAATTTTTATTTCTAGATATTCATGGAGCAGCTGGAAAGTGTTCTGCAGGGGAAAGAAGCTTCCATAAGGTATACGTCAATAGTGAATTGACTTTGGTGCTCTTTATTTAAATTATTGTTGAAATTTTATTCTATATTTCTATTTTCTGTGAAATATGTTCTGTACTATGCTTTTCTTTAATGATCTTGCTTATAAAGGGAGTTGGTGTGGTCATTTGTATTTTAGCATGGAGGAGCTTTTATCAAGGAGCCGGGATCAATTTGTCTCTGACTATGGTAAGAGAACTTTTGCTCCTAACTTTGCACTTGTATTTATTCTCTTCAAAGATCCTGATAATGTTTCTATGGTAGTTGTAATGTTCTTTAGATTTGTCACGTCTGGCGAAATTCGTAAAAGAGCAGAATTTTTTGAACCATTTATTGCTGGTTTGACAAATACAAGTGTTGATCAGGTCAGTTGCACTTTTACCAAATTAATATCTATGCTTCCATTTTGTTTGCCTATCTGAAATAACCTATCTTTAACTTTGAATATAGGATTATAATTTGATGATGGGTTTTTATTGTTGATATGGAAATTCGCTTTGGGGACAGGGCTTCATGGTTAATTTAATTTTTTAAAAACATAAATATATGAGCTATGGAATCCTTTTTGGATCTTAATAGATTTTGTGGGGAGTTGACTCCTCTTAAAACACAGTTAGCATTTTGCAAAGGTCTTTTTTAGTGGAACACACGCTAATCATCTAAGATATCTCAAGTAACTTAAGGTAGTGTTGGTTAAAGCTAAGTACTAGCTATGCTATTTAGTGGATTCAACTACTTGGATGGCATACATATTTCATTGGATTGCAAGATAATATTTAAATAAATCCTAGATTCTTAATAAAGAAGATAAATTATGAATTTACAAAATTAAAAACCAAAAGTGCAGGGGTTACCCAATTATTGGTGATCAAATAACCAATTTTATATCTGTGTTGGTGTTGCTAAGGAATTGCTAAAGGAGAACTTGATTGTTGATGATGATCTAGATGCTGTTATGCTCTTATGCTCAGATGCCGAAATTTGATGGGGGTGTATGTAGAGGATTTGTGGTGGAAGGAGTTCTGTCTTTCTTGTAGTGGACCTAGTGGTATTGGAAGGATGGTAAAAGGGTAGTTTACTTGAGGTAATGCTCTAGTAGCTTATGATGAGTGTTCGAGAGATGCATTATGGTGAAGATTTTTTTTATGCTTAGATTTATAGGGAAGTGGGGCTTGCCTAAGATCTCTTAATTGTAGATTAGGGTTTCGGGTTGTGAAATTTATGGGGAAGTCTTTGGAATCTATTAAGGTTCAAAGTTATGGTAGAAACTTAGGGCACTTACGTTGGGTTTCTTGGATTTTGATGTAGTCCGAGAGCTTTGATAGAAACTAAGTTTTGATGAGATATATAGAGAGAGTTATAAAGGATAGCTATGGTTAGGATTTGAGTGGGGAAGGTCGGAAATTCTTCACCGAAGGAATTTCATCTATGGAAGTTCATCAAGCCATTTGACACATAAGTGGGGAACTCCAATTGGAAAATCAATATAGGCAATCTCAATCTAGTATTGAAGTCCAATGTAAATACACATCAAACATTCAAACAATTCCATACTGATTTGGGGTTAAAATAATAATTCCTAAAAATAGAAAATCTCAAAATTTAAATTTAAATTGGAGTTGCCTATGAATGCTGGAAACCACTCTATGAATTGTGGAGAGATTTATCTATAAGATTTGAATTGAGGGACTAAGCCTTGGATTGAGGAGAGGGCCCAAAAATAACTTGAATTTGAATGAGGGTCAACTATGCCTTTTCCAAAACACATTTCAATTGAAGTTTATAATGGATTTAAATAATTGCATGGCTCATGCAATATGGTGATACTTGGTTTGTGATCTTGTCACTGACCTATGCGTTACCTAAGGTTGTTATATCTCAACCAAACAATAACAAAAAGATTTACAAGCCTTTATCTTAGTATGTGGGGTCGGCTAAATGAAATTTTTTCTCCATTGTGTTTTATTAAGAGTCAAATTCTCATTTAAATATAATAAAAAAAGGTCATTTCTAATACTTTCTAACCAAATCCTTTTAGGTCTACCTCTATTTTTTTTTTAAAATTAGATCGACTTTAATACATTTACTCTCCTAGCTGCATCATTGGATGGCTCATATTTTATGAGACCAAACCATTTAAGGTGACTCTCTCTAGTCTTACTTGCCACTTGTTCGAATAATTTTTTTTATAATATAAAAAAAAAGAAAAGAAAGAAAAAAAAAATCAATGGGGGGAGAGGGGAAGAAATCGAACAAGCATGTTTCCACGATGTTCTTGTAGCAACTCATGCCTCAATTCATATAAAAATGATAGAGAAATGACCGAGGACTTACACTAATTACAGTTTGAGAGGGCACGATCCATTGTGGTTTTGGAACCCCTGTCTATCCTGGTTGACTCCGGCACTTGCGCCTCCTTCTATTTCCCATGAGCAATCTTGCAGGTTCATGTCTCTCTGTATCCGAGCAAGCCCACACATGTGAGAGCAACCTCCTTGCCTGCATTGTTTGAATCAATCCCACTCAGCGTACGATCCGACCTCCCCTACGCGCGAATGAGACCTTCTGTGTCCGCTGTTCACCTCTAGTATATGTGCGAGCGATCGTGAGTTGCTCGACCACCCCGCATGCGAGCAATCTCACGGCTGTCCGTGGCCTCCTGTATGCACTCCACATGCGTCACCAGGAGTCCAATCGAATCGAGGCACAAAGCTTCTTCTTCTTGTTCCACGCACGAATAAGACCTGAAGCTGCACCTCTGCACACATGAGCGAACATCGCTTCCGTATGCTCCACTTGCACGGGCTTGCACGAATGGAATTTTGCTGCCACACCTCCTTTATGCATGAATGAGCCTAGGTCTTGAGATTCCTCCTACTATGTCGGGCTATTTCAAACCATATGTATGAGTATTAAATGGAAATTGGTATATGCCTCTATAGGTATATTTTGAGGAAAACTTCATGCCAAGTTATGTTTACATTTTTTTTAAATTTTTTGGTATTATAATCCACCGCTCATTGAAATTTTGTCTTCAAAATTTACCTTAGCTGCCATCAAATAAATGAGGGAATTATGATCTAGTATCTTTTTCTTTCTCTCAGGTTGCCTTCTTTTCAGGCTTGTATTTTCATTTTACTTTAACATAAGGAATCTGACGGTTTTTAAGCTGGTTAGTGTCAAAATCTAGTTTTCTTTTTGGTTATTCTGTGTAAGTCAGATTCTTCTGTAATTCAATTTCATCATGTGAATTTCTTTGATGAGCATCTGTAACTCATTTTCTCAACAGTAATACATGAAAAATATTGTGAATATCAGACATGTCGGATGGAAGAGCAAGCTTGTAAGCAATTTTCTCAATTCTTTCAATAATCTCAAAAGGTCCTATATACATAGGACTCAATTTGTCTTCTTGCCCAAATTTGGCTTACCTTTCACTTGCTTAACCTTCATAAATACAAGGTCCCCAATTTCAATCTCTACTGTTTTGTGCTTGGGGTCATAATACTTTTGCTGACGATCCTGAGCAGTTTTTAATATGTCTCTAATTAATTTAATTTTCTCTGTTGCTTCATCAACTAGTTATGGGCCCATTAACTGTCTTTCCCCTACCTCAACCAATGTTAAGGGAGTTATGCTCTTTCTACCATAAAGGACTTTATATGACGTCATTTGTATACTTGATTGATAGTTATTATTATAAGAAAATTCTATCAATGATATGTGATCCTCCCAGCTACCTTTAAGATCTTAAACACATTCTCAACAGGTGTTCCAGTACCTGGATGGTTCTTTTAGATTGACCATTAGTCTGAGGAATAAAAACTGTACTGAAATGCAGATTTGTGCCCAAGCTTTCATGAATGCTTTTTCACAGCCTAGAAGCAAATCTACCATCTATATTTGAGATAATAACTTTTGGAATGTCATGCAATTTGACAATCTCTTTCATACACAAGTGTGCCAATTTATCTATTGATTTAGTTTGCTTGATAGACAAAAAGTCAAAAAGTGAGCTGATTTTGTTAATCTATCAATAATCACCCAAATGCTATCATGTCCTTGTTTGAATCTTGAAAATCCCATAACAAAATTCATTGTAATTTCTTCTCACTTTTACTCAGAGATAAGTAAGGATTGCAGTAGTCTACTAGGTATCTGATTTTTAGTTTTCACAATTTGACATGCTATTAACTTAGACACATATTTAATATGTTCTTCATACCTGACTAATAAAAAAGTAATTTAAAGTCTTTATACATCTTGGTACTGCCTGAATGAATTGTGTGGCCAGAATAATGAGCTTCTTGTAATATTTCCTTTCACAAGTCTTCATCATTGGGCACCCACAACTGAACTTTATGCTTAATATTTCATCAGTATCAACATAAAGATTTGGTCTTTTTCCTAATCGGGCTTGCTTCATCAATTTTAAATGTTTGCTACTAATCTTTTGAGCTTCTTTGATACAATTTGTCAAAGTTGACTTTACTGTCATCTGATGCAAGTATTCCATTTGAAATCTTTAATATCCAAATGCAGATTTTTTATTTCCTTGATCAATTGAACTTCTTGTGTAATCATCTAATTCATCAGTTGTGGATTTGTGACTCAAAGTATCAACCACAATATTATCTCTTCCAGAACAATACTGAATATCCACATCATTATGCTTGATGATTTTCAACCATCTTCTCTGCCTCATATTGAGTTATTTTAATTGAAAATATGTATTTTAAGCTTTGATGATTAGTAAAGATTTCACATCATACCCCATATAGGTAATGCCTCAAAATCTTCAAAGTAAATACCACTGCTGCCAGTTTTAGATCATGAGTATGATAGTTTCTTTCATGTGCTTCAACTATCTCAATGCATATGCAATTACCTTTTTATTATGTATTAGAACATATCCTAAACCCTTTAAAGAAGCATCGCTGTAAAGCAAAAATTCTTCCGTTCCTGAGGGGAGTGTCAATATTGGTGATGTAGTCAGGTGCATCTTAAATGCCTGAAAGCTTTTTCACACACACCCTATTTTGACCCCCATAGTCAATCTAGAGTGTAACTGAGAAGGAGAATTTGAATAGATCTCCTTACTAATACCCATTATGAACTACCTCTATCAGAATCAGGGAGTAAGAAGTAGCCTATTCAGAGTATCCTAATATATCAAGTTTTATACTTCATAACAGAAAACATATGTAAAATATCTCAAATGAAATGCACACTTTAAATGAAATTCAAAGATTTACTAAACTTTTTAAATAACATTTACATACCCAAAAGTGTATGTATAACTCCTACTCAGATATACCCAAAGTGTATATACACAAAAGAGGATTCAGCTGTCCTGACAACTACC